TGGGGGCCCAGTGCTTGCACGAGCCACGACTGTGCTTCCGTGCCCAGCGGTCCCGTCTGGTGAGCTGTCAGGTCTCCACGTTCCCTCGTTCTCTACGAACCTGGTGAGCAATGCCGTCCTTCAGGATCACTGGGTTGACACCTGGACTCCTGGAGGGCAGCGTGTGGCGATCTGCACTTGCTCTCGGACTGGCCGCCACCTGGCCACGTTCACTCGTGAGCCAGGGTCCAGTCTGTACACCCTCACCACTGTTTCACGCTACACCCCTTTGTCTCCACAGCTGTACGCGTCTGCTCAGGTAGCTACCCAGTGTGAGTGTCGCCGCCTGTCGCACGACACTCTCCTGTGGCACCACCGCCTTGGTCACCCCTCCCTGCCTCGCCTTCGTAGCATGCACTCTCGCCTACTGGTCTCTGGCCTTCCCAGGTCTCTGCCTGCCCTCCCTCCCTCGCCTGCGCCGCCCTGCATTCCTTGTGTCGAGGGGCGGCAGCGCGCCGCTCCTCACTCCTCCTCGTTCCCTCCCACAGAGGCTCCACTGTAGACTCTCCACCTGGACGTGTGGGGCCCCGCCCGCGTCCAGGGGACGGGCCGCGAGCGGTACTTCCTGCTGGTTGTCGACGACTACACACGCTACACCACGGTCTTCCCCTTGCAGCGCAAGGGTCAGGTCCCTGATGTTCTGATCCCCTGGATCCGTGCTGTTCGTCTCCAGCTCCGCGAGCGGTTCCACTCGGATTTTCCTGTCCTGCGTCTGCACTCTGACAGAGGTGGTGAGTTCTCCTCTGACCTCTTGGCAGCCTTCTGTGTGGAGCACGACATCCGCCAGACGTTCACGCTTCCGGCCTCTCCTCAGCAGAATGGGGTTGCTGAGCGCCGCATTGGCTTAGTCATGGAGGTCGCTCGTACCTCCATGATCCATGCGGCTGCCCCCCATTTTCTGTGGCCGTTTGCGGTCCGGTACGCTGCGCATCAGCTCAACCTCTGGCCCCGTGTCTCCTTGCCGGAGACCTCGCCCACACTGCTGTGGACGGGAAAGGTTGGCGATGCGTCGCGTTTCTGGGTCTGGGGTGCTCGTGCCTTTGTCCGCGATACCACCGCAGACAAGCTCTCCGCTCGCGCCATTCCCTGTGTCTTCCTTGGTTTTCCCTCTGATGCGCCTGGCTGGCAGTTTTACGACCCCGCCTCGCGCCGTGTCTTTGCGTCTCAGGACGTCACCTTTGACGAGTCCGTTCCCTTCTACCGTCTCTTTCCCTACCGTACTTCCCCTCGCACCCCCCCGCCGCTCTTCCTCGCTCCAGGTCCTCCCCAGGTAGACCCCCTTCCCGCGCCAGGTCCTGCTCCTTCAGGTGTTTCTCAGGTAGACCCTCCCGTGCCTGCGCCTGTTGAGGTCACTGGTGACTCCGGTCCTGCTGGGGGTGGTGCTGTCTCTGGGGGTCCTGGTCCTGTGGGTGCTGAGCCTGGGGGTGCGGAGCTTGGGGGTGCGGAGCCTGGGGGTGCGGAGCTTGGGGGTGCTGAGCCTGGGGGTGCGGAGCCTGAGCGTGAGGAGCCTGGGGGTGCTGAGCCTGAGCGTGAGGAGCCTGAGGGTGCGGAGCCTGGCGGTGCTGCGCCTACACGTGAGGAGACTGGAGGTGCTGCGCCTGGGGGTGCTGCGTCTGGGGGTGCTGAGCCTGCGTGTGCGGAGTCTGGGGGTGCTGAGTCTGGGGGTGAGACGCCTGAGGGTACTGAGACTGCTAGTACGCGGTCTCCTTGGAGCAGCCGCCTTCGTCCGCGTGTGCCTCTCACCTCACAGCAGCTGCACGACTGGTACGGTCGCCGTCAGGGTCGCGCTGCTGGAGCTCGGAGTTATGCCGCTGGGGGTGCTTCTGTTGACGTCGCTGGTCCCGGAGGTGCTCGTACTGGAGGTACTGGAGCTGCTGGGGCTGGAGGCACTGTGCGTGAGGGTGCTGCTGCTGGAGACACTGGGACTGGAGGTGCCGGTTTTGAGGGTGCTGCTGCTGGTGGAGCTGGTCCTGGAGGAGCTGGAGCTGGAGGTTCTGGAGCTGCTGGAGGTGCTGGAGCTGCTGGAGGTACTGGAGCTGCTGGTGCTGGTGGCACTGCACAACCGCGCCTGTTCTTCGCTCCACCGTCTCCGTCGTCTCAGCCACCGCCTGACTCTGTGCTTCGCCAGGTTCTTAGCCTACCGTCGTCTACTGGTCTTCCGTTATAGCCTGGCTCACCACTGCTTGCTCCTTCCCCTTACACTTCGTAGACAGGGGGGCCTTGCTGAGCGTCGTGAGCCTGCGTCGCGTCCTGTCTCGCCTGTCCGCTCTGGTCCTTCCGGTCGTCGTGTTTCTCGTTCGCGTCAGCCGGCTGTCCCCGGCACACACCTCGTAGTCCGTCGTCCTTCCTCTGCTCCGCAGCCTGTTCCTCTGCCGTCTCCCCCTGCGTCCTCTCTGCCTGACGTTCCGGACCCTGAGTCTGACCAGTTTCGTGCTGAGCACCCTACTGTCACGCATCTGTTAGCCACTGTTGTCACTGACCCGTCGTTTGAGTCTGCTGCTGCGTCTGCCTTGGTCGCTGAGCTTGTTGACTTTGCTGCCGCCTGTCGTCTAGACTACGCCGCTAGTCTCGTTGCTGAGTCTGAGTCTGTCTGTCCTCCGTACGTCGGGGGTGAGTGTGCTCTTGGCACGGACGTCCTTAAGGACAGGCAGGAGGACCTTGAGTGTCTTGCGGCTGTTGCGCCTCATCTCGTGGCCATGCTACTTGCCCCTGAGGGAGACCCGGATGCACCAGACATCCCGACCCCGCGATCTTACGCTGAGGCGATCGCGGGTCCCTACTCCTCTCAGTGACAGACAGCCATGGACGCAGAGATGGCATCCTAGAAGTCCACAGGCACTTACGTCGACGAGGTTCCCCCTCCTGGGGCGAACATCGTCGATGGCATGTGGATTTTCAGGGTGAAGCGGCCGCCGGGTTCTCCACCTGTCTTCAAGGCTCGTTACGTTGCTCGAGGCTTCAGTCAGCAAGAGGGAGTTGACTTCTTCCAGACCTTCTCCCCCACCCCGAAGATGACTACTCTTCGGGTGCTGCTGCACGTTGCCGCTCAGCGTGACTACGAGCTTCACTCTCTGGACTTCAGCACAGCTTTCTTACAGGGTAGCCTGCACGAGGAGATCTGGCTGCGCCGCCCACCTGGCTTCACTGGGTCGTTCCCTCCTGGTACCTAGTGGAGCCTCCGGCGGCCAGTCTACGGTCTCCGCCAGGCGCCTCGTGAGTGGCACGACACACTGAGGACTACACTTGCGGCTCTTGGGTTTGCACCTTCGACAGCTGACCCGTCTCTGTTTCTGCGCATCGTCACATCACTGCCGCCGTTCTACATCCTCGTGTACGTCGACGACTTGGTCTTTGCTACTGTTGACACTGAGGCTCTCGCCCTGGTGAAGTCGGAGCTGCAGAAGAGACACACGTGCACAGACCTGGATGAGCTGCGCAGCTACCTTGGCTTGCAGATCACCGAGGACCGAGCACGCCGCACCATCACCCTGACTAAGTCACACATGGTGCAGCAGGTCCTTCACCGCTTCGGCTTCACCTGGTCCTCGCCACAGTCCACTCTTCTGGCTACAGGTCACTCGCTCTCAGCTCCACCTTCGGACGAGTCCGTAGAGCTGAGTGGTCCTTACCCAGAGCTAGTGGGCTGCCTCATGTACCTGATGACCTGCACTTGTCCTGACCTTGCGTACCTTGTTGGCCTTCTGGCTCGCTACGTGGCTCCTGGTCGGCACCGAAAGGTGCACTGGGATGCTGCGAAGAGGGTACTGCGCTACTTGTGCAGCACATCGGGCATGGGGCTCGTGCTTGGAGGGCGGAGAGACGTGGTCCTCACTGGGCACTCAGACGCTTCTTGGGTTGACGACCAGGCTACGCAGCGGTCGTCACAGGGTTACACTTTCAGCCTTGGCTCAGGCTCTGTTTCTTGGCGGTCTACTCGCTCTTCTTCTGTTCTCAGCTCCAGTTGTGAGGCTGAGATCTACGCCACAGCCATGGCTGCACAGGAGTTACGCTCCCCCCCAGCCCGCCATCCCCTCGGCCTCCCCCCTGGCAAGCGCCACGGCCCGGCCGGAAAGCACATCGCCCCACCAGAACCACCGGTGCACTGCTGGCTGGGGGGATGGGCACATGAGGTTTTTGAAATAGCGAATGGGGGCACAATGAGAGTTTTAGGTTTCAAGCGAAAGTTGCGGGGAAGAAGGCAGAGTGAGCAGTAGTGCGGGGTGTGCGACATGCAACAGTGGGTACAAGGATGGAGGCCCGTGGGTGTGCAGGCCACGAGGCATGTGGGGATGTGAGGAGTGGTGGAGTTCGGCAGGCGGACAGGAGTGGAGATGGCGCTGTGCAGCACACAGTACGTGCTGCCCACTTGGTGCTGCCCACTTGGTGCTGCCCACTTGGTGCTGCCCACTTGGTGCTGCCGTGGGGGCGCGGGGGCTGAAGCCCAGCGCAAGGCACAAACACACACAATCGCTTCTACTGAGAGCAGTTACGGTGCGTGCCTGCTGTGCCGCGCATAACAACATCCCCTGCCCGCACCCCACCCGCACCTGCAGCGACCCGTTGATGCCGACGGCGACGGTGGAGAGGCCGGCAGCAGCGGCGGCGCCGAGGGCGCGGGAGTAGCCGCGGTCGTCCGACACGACCAGCACGGCGCCCACCTGCCCGCTGCGCACCGCCGCCGCCATGTCCCTCTTCAATGCCTCGTCCGCTGCCTGGGGGAGGGAGGTGGGAGAGGGAGAGGGGGGTTGGATGCGAGTGACATGGAGGGGGGGAGTTTGAAGAGCAGTGCATGAAATGAGGAGAAAGAGAAGACACAAGATGCAATAATGATGCTGCCACGATCACCTCTCACCTCTAACCTCCCCCCCTCCATCCCCCTCCTCTCACCTCCCCCCCTTCTCTCACCACCCACCTGTGACTGCTGGCTGACGAGGCGCACCACCACCCCCGCGCGGCGCAGCTCAGGCATGAGCCCGTAGCCGCGGCGAGGCAGCAGCACGCCCCTCACCGCCTGCTGGTACCGCTGCTGCTTCTCTCGATACACCTCCCTCAGCCGCCGCTTCCGCCTGCTCGCATGGCACATGGGCGATGGGGAAAAGGAAGGGCGCACATACGTGAGACAAGGGTGCGGGCACCGTGGGACTAAAAGGCAATAACGAGGAAGTGTGAGCAAGACGGTTGGGCAGTTGGAGCGTGCAAGAGCATGGGGGGTGGGAGAGCCCTCACTTGGGGCTGGCGTGGTTGAGGTGCTGCATGCGCTTCTCATGCTCGCGCTGGTGCAGCGACACAAAGTGCTTCCTCAGCGCTGCCGCCCCGCTGCACCGCCGTCCGCACAGCTCGCACCGCACCTCCCGCTCCTCCGCCTCCCCGCGCGCCGCCATGCGCACTGCCTCGCGGCGCTCCCTCCGCTGCTCGCGCACCCAGGCGGGCACGTGCTCGAAGGCGTGGCGGTTGGCGTACGCCAGCACGTCCACGGGCGACCCGAAGCTCGCCGCCAGGTCTCTGAGGCGCGCGGCGGCGTCGAAGGGCTCCATGCGCTCGGGCTGCACGTTGTCCAGATCCCACAGCACCACCGCGCGGCCCCCCGCCGCCGCCCCCTCCGCCCCCTCCGCGCCGCCCCACCTCGCCTGCGCCACGACCCCCTGCCTCGCTGGTCCATCCGCCCCTCCCCTCGCGCCCGCTGCGCCCGTGCCCTTCACGGCCCCCATCTCGCTGGCCCCGCCGGCCTCCCCACCGCGCAGCACGGCGCTCCCGGCGAAACCCCGCGCGCCGCCATTCCCCCTCCCGACCCCCTCCCCCGCCGCTGAGAACGTCCGCGCGACGTAAACGGGGGACGCGGCCGCACCGCAGGCAGGCAGTGGCGAAAAGCCGCAATAGTAGCGAGGAAAAGGAGCGGCGGGGGCACGCGCAGACCGCAAGGCGCACGCGGCCGTGCGACGTGTGGTGCTCGCCGCAGCGGAGCCCGTCGCAGCGGTCGCGAGGCTCCGCTGCAAAGAGCGCGCGACGGGGCCGTGCGATGCGGCGGGCGACGAGGTAGAGGGAGGCGGAACGAGAGGCGGGCGATCAAGAGGCCAGCGGATGAGCATGTGGGCGACCGGAGCGGGGAGGCGGAAGGACGCGGAAAGGCGGAAAGGCGCGGAAAGGCGGAAAGGCGCGGAGAGGCGGAGGAGCATGGGTTGAGGTGGGGTCGCGAGAGACCGGATCCCCAGCCCTAGACGCGGTGCGCACGGCAGTGCCAAGCGCAGACTGTCAGGCGGAATGCGCGGGACCGGACAAGAAAATGAAAATGCGCTTTCCGCGGATACGCAACCCAGGCGGCAGTTTGAGGAGGCCTGAACTCAAGGTGCAAAATCATTTCGGGTGGCCTAAGGACGCGGTGAAAGTGCTGGTTCGGAGGGAGATCGATCCGGTCACCGCACCGAAACCCCGCCTTTTGCATACGAAAGGTACACAACCGTTTACAAACAGGCGAAAAAACGATCCTGAGGCGATCGATTCTCCACTTTCACCGCGTCCTAAGGTTTTCGCTAAGGGCGTGTTGCAAGTTCAAAAACCGTAAGATCGCCGAACCGCTCACCGAGCGTGACAGTAGATCCTCGGCTCGGTGTGTGAGCCTCGATACGATCGATCCGCAAAGATACTCTGGGTTGTGTACCACGATTGCCTAGTTACAGGGCATTATTGGCGAGCTCATGATCGATCGGAACTGCCAACGCGATCGATTGGGCCCTCGCCAATATCTTCTGTCCAGCACAGTGTCTTTACTGTAAACTGGTAACCAGACTCTACAGTATTCTGTTTTGAGGACGACCGATCGCGTACTTGCAACACGTCCTAAGAAGCAGTGTGGTCGATTGTTACCACCACACACAATTGCACCAGCCAAACCCAAAATGCTCAAGGCGAACAGTGCAACCTCTTGTGCGTTTCAGGGTCGTTTCAACAGCAACTCAGACAGCTACGAGCACTCTGACGTGCGCGGTGCCCTCCACTCACGCCACTTGCGCCTTCAAGTCTCTAGACGAAACGCTCTGATCGCGACGGAGAATAAGACGGCAACGTAGTTAGGACCGAGGAGTTAAGCAGCCAGGTGAGTCAGCATTCGTACCCGCACGCCTCGCATCCCGACTGCGCCAATACGCCTCGCGATCACACAAGTCGCGCCGGCGACTGGCAGCGCTGCTCGTGCGGGTGTCTAAGCGCCACCGCGGTGGCACCTCGTTGACTTGCGACCCCTCGCGTTCGCGCCTCGCCTCCCCGCCTCGCCTCCCCCCTCGCTACTCCGTAGCGCACGCGGGACCCCTCGGGGGCGGGTATAACCACCCCGCCGCAGCATGTTCCCGCTGCGAGCCGCTGTCATCTCACCCACTCCGCTACTGCGCTCCCTGCTTGCTGTTCGCATACGTTTCTCGCAGTTTGTGAGAAGAGGAGGCAAGGCGTGCGGCGCAGCTCAGCGCGGGGCGGGGCGGGGCGGGGGGGCGGATGGCGAACCTGCGCGCGGCGGCGGGGCAGCGCGTGCTGTGCCCCGCGACGGACTGCGTTGACATCTGCAACGCGCCGCTCGACGCCCACGTCAAGATGCCGCGCCTCGGCTTCGGCACCTACATGGTGAGACGCGTGCTTGAAAGGGATGTGTCATATGAAGCCACTGAGCGTGCCATATTGGAACGCCCTGCCCGCCCCGTGTGTCCCTGCGCATGACCCCCATCTTGTGCGCATGACCCCCATCTTGTGCGCATGACCCCCATCTTGTGCGCATGACCCCCATCTTGTGCGCATGACCCCCATCTTGTGCGCATGACCCCCATCTTGTGCGCATGACCCCCATCTTGTGCGCATGACCCCCGCAGATCTCAGCGCGCGATGCGGAGGCGGCAGTGCTGACGGCGCTGAGGGAGGGGTACCGCCACATCGACACGGCGCAGCTGCACCGCAACGAAGCTGCTGTTGGTACGCCCCTCGCCACCTCCACTCTCGCATTTGCATTTCCCCGCTGTTCGTTCCCCCTACCCCCCTTCCCCACTCCCCTCTCTCCCCTCTCCGGGTGCTGCCTCACGCGGCCAGGTGGACGATCTGTCATGTCATGCTTCACCGTGTGCTGCCTGCACCCCGTCAGGTTCTCATTTGTTCTCTCAACTTTATGTGAGCGTGCGTGCACTCATCCCATCCCATCCCATCCAATCCCAACCCATCCCATCCCATCCCATCCCATCCCATCCCATCCCATCCCATCCCATCCCATCCCATCCCATCCCATCCCATCCCATCCCATCCCATCCCATCCCATTCCATCCCATCCCATCCCATCCCATCCCAGCCCAGCCCATCCCATCCCCTCCCCTCCCATCCCATCCCATTTCATCCCAGCCCAGCCCATCCCATCCCCTCCCCTCCCATCCCATCCCATTTCATCCCATCCCAGCCCATCCCATCCCCTCCCCTCCCATCCCATCGCATTTCATCCCATGCCATGCCATCACATGCCACGCACCCCACCAGGCAGGGCGGTGAGGGCGAGTGGGCTGCCACGCGAGAGTGTGTTCGTGACGACCAAGCTGTGGAACGCTGACAACGGCTACGACGCCACGCTGCAGGCCTTCCACCGCTCGCTCAGCGAGTTGGGGCTCGACTACGGTGGGTCACAGGGGCTCGACTACGGTGGGTCACAGGGGCTCGACTACGGTGGGTCACAGGGGCTATACTGGCTGGCTGGGTGGCTGGCTGGCTGGCTGGGACTATGGTGGGTGGGACTATGGTGGGTGGGACTATGGTGGGTGGGATTATGGTGGGTGGGACTATGGTGGGTGGGACTATGGTGGGTGGGACTATGGTGGGTGGGACTATGGTGGGTGGGACTATGGTGGGTGGGACTATGGTGGGTGGGACTATGGTGGGTGGGACTATGGTGGGTGGGACTATGGTGGGTGGGACTACGGTGGTTGGGACTATGGTGGGTGGGACTATGGTGGGTGGGACTATGGTGGGTGGGACTATGGTGGGTGGGACTATGGTGGGCTATAGTGGGTGAGGGGGGCTATAGTGGGTGAGGGGGGCTATAGTGGGTGGGATGGGGCTACGGTGGGTGGGATGGGGCTACGGTGGGTGGGATGGGGCTACGGTGGGTTCGCATAATTCAAACCTGCTCTTCCACACCAACTCCACGCATCGCCTTGCCCTTCACCGCCCTTACTCTAGCGCGCGTCGCCCTGTCCCCCTGCCACCCCCATCCTCCCCCCAGTGGACCTGTACCTGCTGCACTCGCCCATGCGCGTGGACGCGCGGCTGGACTCGTGGCGCGCCATGGAGGACCTGCTCAGAGGGGGGCGGGTGAGGGCCATCGGGGTGAGCAACTTCGGGCAGCACCAGCTGGAGGAGCTCTTCCAGCACAGCACTGTGCGCCCCGCCGTCAACCAGCTCGAGCTGCACCCCTTCGGCACGCGGCGCGCGCTGGTGGACTTCTGCGTGCAGCACGGCATGGCGCTGCAGGCGTACTCGCCCCTCACCAAGGGAACTCGCCTGCGCGACCCCACGCTCGTCGAGGTGCGCTGTGCCACCGTGCACGTGGGTGCGGTGCACGTGGGTGCGGTGCAGGTGGGTGCATGAGTTGCGTCAGACAGGTGTGCGGTTCGTTTTTACCGCCCAGAGTTGATGGTGGCAGGCCAGGGAGGCCACAACGAGCTTGAGGCACAGAAAAGCAGAGGCACTGGTGGATGCTGTGAGGCACTGGTGGATGCTGTGAGGCACTGGTGGATGCTGTGAGGCACTGGTGGATGCTGTGAGGCACTGGGGGATGCTGTGAGGCCTGGTGGATGCTGTGAGGCATCTGGGATGGAAGAAAATCGGCAAACTTTTTCTTTTTTTTTTATACACAAGTATTGCTACGCACGCTTGAGTGGTGAATAAAAAAAACGCTAAACAAACTATATAGGCAGGTGAAAGATTAATTAGGAAAGCGTGGGGGGGGGGCAGTAGGCATGAGCCGGGGCGGGCCAATGTGTTTCAGCTGTGGGCCCGATTGGGGCTGTCCACCTGGATGGGACCGCTGGGTTGGACGCGGCCCGAGTACAGGCCAATTGTGGCCAATTGTGGCCAACTGTGGCCAATTGTGGCCAATTGTGGCCAACTGTGGCCAATTGTGACCAATTGTGACCAATTGTGGCCAATTGTGGCCAATTGTGTTTCAGTTGTGGCTCGGGCTTCTGCGGTTGGTTGGGCCAGTACAGGCCAATCTTCGGCGGTTGGTTGGGCCAGTACAGGCCAATCTTCGGCGGTTGGTTGGGCCAGTACAGGCCAATCTTCGGCGGTTGGTTGGGCCAGTACAGGCCAATCTTCGGCGGTTGGTTGGGCCAGTACAGGCCAATCTTCGGCGGTTGGTTGGGCCAGTACAGGCCAATCTTCGGCGGTTGGTTGGGCCAGTACAGGCCAATCTTCGGCGGTTGGTTGGGCCAGTACAGGCCAATCTTCGGCGGTTGTTTGGGCCAGTACAGGCCAATCTTCGGCGGTTGATTGGGCCAGTACAGGCCAATCTTCGGCCGGAAAATGCAGGTGTTCCAAGGCGCGTGTGTCGCAAACCTTATAGCAACCGGGGTTGAGTGGACATATGTTGGGCACGTGAGGGAGGGCAAGGCGAGGCGGTGCAGGTGCTGATGGCAACGCAGATGATGGCACTTTCTTCTGCGTGCTTGCTGCTTCCAACTCATACCCACTGCATGTGCACCTCACCCCCACTGCATGTGCACCTCACCCCCACTGCATGTGCACCTCACCCCCACTGCATGTGCACCTCATGCTGCCATCCGGCTCACCCCTTGGTTTGGCCATCCCACCCACGTGTGGCACGGGAGGGCAGATGGCAGCGCGGTATGGGAAGAGCACGGCGCAGCTGATGGTGCGGTGGTGCCTGCAGAAGGGCTTCACCGTGCTGCCCCGCTCCGTCAACCCCGCCCACATCGCTGCCAACACCCAGGTGACGCCAGCAGTCAAGGTGCCGCCAACACGCAGGCACCACTGACGCCACTCTTGTATAGCAGCTGTGCTGTACCACAATCATTATCCTCCTTGTGCCCTGCTGCACACATGTGCCAGTCTGCACACATCATATTGTATTGCACCCGTGTGTCGTCTGTGTCTTCCAATGAGTGTCGTTGCCTGCATGGTTTATTTTGCTCATTCCTTTGTCTGCTGTGTGCCCATGTGCCCTATGTCATGTACCATTCACCATGTGCCAATTTCCGTGTTCCATTTCCAATCTGCCATGTGCCATATGCCATGTGCAATGTGGCGTGTACCATGTTTCGCACGACACGGATACCATGTATCATGTGCCATGTGCCATCTGCATGTGCGACATGCCATGTACCATGTGCCACATGCGATGTGCCACATGCCATGTGCAGGTGTATGACTTCAACATTTCTGACATTGACATGGCGAAGCTCGACTCACTCAACGAGGATTATGTTACAGGCTGGGACCCCACGCGGGGCCCGTGAACATGACGGCTGGGTTATTTTATAATTCTGTTTATCAGGTCTGTTGGGAAAAAAATCCCTGAAAATCAAGGTTTTTCTTGGTAGCGTTACTTTGATTACACAAGGTTTTTTCATATAATGGGTTTGGGTTTTTTTGGGTTTTTTGGGTTTGTTTATGGTTTTTTTCGGGTAGTATATTTTTTTTCCTTTGTTAAGACCAGGGCCCAAAATAGCAGGGTAAAATACCCTTTTTGCCCTGATGGGCGGACGCTTTTTGGCAGTTACCCTTGCAGAATCCGTGTAACAATTTTTTTTACCCTAGAGCGAACAGGCTAACTTTTGATTTACCTTGGGACCGATTTTAGTTACCCTTCCTGTACATGGTTCGATCCGTGTCACACTATTACCGAATCCTTTTTAGCGAGGATTTTCCTTGAAGTCGGAACTCTATGCTGCCGCCGAGATTTGAACTTGCGACCTAACAATACCTAGCCAAACATCTAACGAACCAAGACAAATCTGTTACACGCATATGAAATTCAATGAGAAGGCATTCCTGTATGCTGCAGGAGCCGACTCTACCGAGTACGAAGTCGAGGAGTCAGAAGAGTCGAATCAAAGACGGTACTTTTGAACACTACTGCTAATACTGAAGTTGGGGTTCTCTTTTGGTGAGAAACAAGCCAGCGGAACCTTTTTCGCATGGAATGTGGCTGGAAACTCTTGACCAGTCAGAAGCAATCCCCCCCCCCCCCTTGTCAAGATAGTAAAGATAGTTAGGAGCCATAGCTAGGAGAACCCTAGCTAGGCAAGAGAAGTTTAGGCAAAGAGGGGTTGCACTAGTAAGAATGGGGATACAAATAGCAAACCCTAGAAGGGTTGTACTCGCTATAGAGCACCCCACTACAGGCTAGAGCATAATATTCTGACACACCCCCATAGCCAAAGTGGGGTGTAATCAGCAGAGCAAGCAAAGCAGTACAAGCTCAGGGTGGATCACAATGTCACCACACATTCTGAGCACAAGTTCAAGAAGCAATAGTTTAAAGTTCACAATTATGAGCAAAGCTAGTGGTAGTCACAACGGGCAAGTGAGGAGGAGGAAAGAGACTATGAGAGGAGAGGAGGTAGTGGGCGGCAGCTGAAGCTGCTGGCACACGGCGCAACTGGAGCAACTGGCACACGGGCAACTGGAGCAACTGGCACACTGGCAACTGGAGCAACTGGCACACGGGCTACTGGAGTAACTGGCTCCGCGGCTGAAAGTAGCGGCAGACGAGCAACGGACTCACGGGCGACTGGAGCAACGGGCTCACGGGCGACTGGCGCAACGGGCTCACGGGCGACTGGCGCAACGGTCTCACGGGCGACTGGAGCTGCTGGCTTCACGGCGGCCACCCCCTTCAACCTCCCCAAACTATCCCACTCCCCCTGACACACACCCGCTGCTACACCGCTAGCTCCACTCCCCCTTCACCCCCCCTTAGTACCACTCCAACGGCTCCAACAAGTCCACCCCCCCTCAGCGGCAGCTGCAGCACAGGGAGACGGAGGAGGAGGAGGAACAGGGAACGGCACTCAGTGGCTTCACCCCCATACCCCTCACCCCCAAACCCTAATTCAGGAGAACGGGCTGTAGGAGGGGTGGGGCGCCAGTAGAAGCACGGGGGACAGTGGGGAGGGCAGGGGCAGCGAGGAACGGGCCGCCCACGGGCCTGGCATAGCCGCCCGAACCGCGCGCAGGCGGCCCGAGCCGCGCGCGGGCCTGGCGCTTCCCGTACGGGCCGCGCGCGGGCCTGGCGCAGCCCGTACGGGCCGCGCGCAGGCCTGGCGCAGCCCGTACGGGCCGCACGCCGGCTGTACGGGCCGCGCGCAGGCCACGACGGGCGACGGGGGGCGACGCGCGGGTCCCCGTCGCCCGTCGCAACGCCTCCCGGGGGCGACGCGTCGAGTGACGGGGCAGAAGCCCGCCGCGCGCCTCGGGGCGCACAGCGGGCAGAAGCCCGCCGCGCGCCTCGGGGCGCACAGCGGGCAGAGAACCGCCGCGCGCCACGGGGCGCACGGCGGGCAGAAAACCGCCGCGCGCCTCGGGGCGCACGGCGGGAAGAAAAAACTGCCGCACGCCACGGGGCGTGCGGCACATAGAGTAGCAGCGGAAGTTGCAGCGGAAGCAACGAGGTGGTGAGCCCACCCACAGGATCGATCCAAAGGGATCGACCTGCTCTGATAGCATGTCAAGATAGTAAAGATAGTTAGGAGCCATAGCTAGGAGAACCCTAGCTAGGCAAGAGAAGTTTAGGCAAAGAGGGGTTGCACTAGTAAGAATGGGGATACAAATAGCAAACCCTAGAAGGGTTGTACTCGCTATAGAGCACCCCACTACAGGCTAGAGCATAATATTCTGACCCCCCCCCCCCCCCCCCCCCCCCCCCCCCCCCGACGCATCAAATTTCCCCCCTGACCCAGCAAATTTGCCCCCTGACGCAGCAGGTTCACCCCTGACACTCCGGATTCACCTCCCGACAGTCAAATTTCGCATTATAACATGTTTTGGTTAAGAATGTTAATTCGAAATCAACATGGAAACGCCCCTACAGGAGAACGAGGGGGGTGTTATATTGTTCACCCCTCAAAGGGGGGGTATAACGATTTTGAGGCTTTATAAAGCCTCCCCCCCGTATTAGCTACCCGGGGGTGTTCTATTTTGGGGGGGTCTTATATCCGGGGGATTACGGTATTTGAACTATTTCGCTGTAATAAGGGAATGTACCCCTTAGAGTACATGGCTAGTCTAGGTCCTTTCGTATTCCCTGCATAAACTCGATATATGCATGCTATTATCATCTCGGTCATTTACATCCACTCTGACCTGGAGTCAACACTTCCGCTGCAACACTGCCTGCGATCAACCCTGAGCAATCCTTTGCCAAGTCCCACTTGGGATTGTGACATAGTATGAGAGCTACTCAGGGATTCTTCGCAACGTCACTTCCGTAAAATTCGCCGAACCTAGATCTGGCGAGCGGCACACGCTCCAAGACCAAGATGGCTGGATGATCCGGAGGCCAAACGAATCTGACGGCCGAAGGACAAACCAACCCGGGTGCGACAAATGAGGCGACAACTATGATCAGCACTGCCGCGTTCGAGCAGTTATTTTCGCGACTATCAACCATGGAGAAAGATATCAAAGAACTGCGCAAAGGCGACGCGGGAACCTCTTCCCAACCAGCTCAACCTGGTCAACTGGCTACGAAAAGCCATGATACCTCCATGCACATCTTTTCCCTTGGCACAGACCAATCAACAAAAACTGCCCCCCGTCCAAGTGATGAAGTCATCAACTCTGCGCAAGCACGCTTTCTCAGCGTTTCAAAAATTAAGACTGCTGCCACATTTGATGGCAAAGATTTCTACACATGGAGTTTTGAGCTGGAGCTCCTCCTACAAACAGCGCAGATCTACCACTACTTTGACGGCTCCTACCCTAAACTGGTTGAAGACACCGACGACGCCCGGGCTTAGTACTACATCGAGTCCCTCATGGCGTATAGTGTGCTGCTACGCAATGTGACGCCTGCGGAGCAACTCGGCATCCGCTCCTACAAAGAGAGCGCCGCTCCAACCTTTGAAGACTGGAAGCACCTCGTTGAGGTATATCAGCCGAAGGACTCAGTCACCTCCAGCAGGCTCCTGCAGCAACTCATGGAGACAAAGATGGGGCACGAGGAGAAAGCGAACACTTATATTAACCACGGTCGGAACATTCGTAACCAGATCACGAAGCATGGATGTGCGATATCTGAAGAGATTTTCGTCAACATCGTCCTCCAAGGACTCGGGCCCAGTGGAAGCCCTGCAAAGCGCTACTCCGACAACGCGGTCATATCAGAAGCCGCGCTATGTGCCGCTCTCCTGACTGAACAGCAGGACATGGATTCGAGCAAGACAAGCTCCGCAACGCGCCAAGAGCGTCTCGCCTTCTACACAGAAAGCCGTGAAGAGCGACGACAACCAAGGCGCCATTATTGCAAAATCTGCAAAACCTTCGGACAATCAGCGGACCGACGCAAATCCCGGTCCAACTACCGCCACCCAAATTCCACTCACCATAACAACTGGGTCGGCCGACAAGACGCTCGTCATTTTCAGCCTCAACACCAAGTTTCTCGCCCTCCTGCATAACACCAACAAGAACAGCAGACACAAGGGCCTCAAGCAGGAGCTACCAAAAACGTAATCACTAACATGGCGACAAGACATCGCCCATGCGCTACTGAACCAGACGAGCAGGAGGAACCCCGCAGCTTGCTCATTCAACGTGGAGAAGGGTGGAACAACCCCCTCATAGAGACAACCAATATAACTGCGGGAAAGACCACCACACGACAACCAAAGATTCGTTCCCGTGGGATGGAGAGAAGATAATCTCTTTGAGAGAAAAAACAAGGCGACCCCAGTGACTCCACGGCTCGCACTCCTCCTGCGCAATAATAACAAAGACAACTACAACACCTGGTACCTGGACAGCTGCTGCGGTCAACACATGGTGGGATCTGCCCGATACATTTCGAACGTCAGCCGCGCTCTCGCAACCTACGTCACTATTGCCAACAACGAGCAACTGTGCGCCAGCGCGCAAGGCATAGTGGTGATACAAGCTCGAGACAGCAACACGCACATCACGTTCAATGACGTGCTCTACGTGCCCGATCTACGTTTGAACTTATTGTCCGCGGGACAACTCAAAGACTGCGGAGTCATGCTCGCCAACAGGCCAGTTGGTCCAACCGGTCACTAAACCAATAGGCCAGTTGGTCTAATCGATCCACACAACCAACAGGAGAGTTGGTCCAACTGGTCCACTCGATCAACAGGCCAGTTGGTTAAATCGGTCCACTGGACCAACATGCCAGTTGGTCCAACCGGTCCACTAGACCAACAGGCCAATTGGTCCAACCGGTCCACTGGACCAACAGGCCAGTTGGTCCAAACGGTCCACTGGACCAACATGCCAGTTG